AGGTGTTTCAGTAAGAGTCCCATAATTAGGGAAAAGTGGGAACAGAGAGGAAGGAGTGAATATTTAAAATTTCGAAGGAGGGGCGCTTGGATGGCCCAGTTGGTTAAGCTTCCAACTTCGGCTCAGGTCATGATCTCGCGGTTTGTGGATTTGAGCCCCATGTGGGGCTCTGTGCTGACAGCTCAGAGCCTGGAGCCTGCTTTCGATTCTGTGTCTCGCTCTCTCTGCCCCTCCTCCGCTTGTACTCTGTCTCTCTCACTCTCTCAAAAATTGAATAAACATCAACAAATTTTTTGATAAAAAAATTTTCAAAGGAAGTTTTGACAGAGTTTAAGTGTTCAGTATAGAGGAAGGGTGAATCAAGGATGGCTAGTTTTTAAATTTTTGCTTTTTATCCTGATGTGAAAATCTCTTATTGGTGAAAATCTCTTAAATCTGTTGAAGTATAATCTCCGTGAGGGGGTGCCTGCGTGGCTCAGTCGGTGGAGTGTCAAACTGTTAATTTCAGCTCAGGTCGTGATCCCCGGGTTGTGGGATTGAGCCCTGTGTCGGGCTCTGTGCTGAGCATGGAGCCTGCTTAAGATAGATTAATTAATTCATTCATTCATTCATTCATTCATTCTCTCTGTCTCTCTCTCTCTCTCTCTCTTCCTCTCTTCCTCTGCCCCTCTCCTTCTGCCCCTCTTCCCCGCTTGTGTTCTTTCTCTAAAAATAATAATAAATAATAAAAATTTAAAAATATATATAAAAAATAGGGATACCTAGTGCTATGATCAGTGGTATCCCTGGCACCCTGGAATAGTGCCTGGTATATAGAAGTGCTCAAGAAATATTTGTTGAAGGGATGAAAGAATGCATTTTACATGTCAGTAGGTAAATTTTAGTGGCCATCTATAAATTTAGAACATGCCAATTTTTACTGCTAAAAATTATGACTGTAAAATAGTACTTGTTAACATTTTCTAGTAGCAAAAATTGTATATTTTTGTTGTAGAAAATTGGGAAAATATGTGAAAACACAAAAAAAGTTACATTTACTTCAAAGATAACTGCTGTTGGTGTATATATCCTTTCTGGGTTTTTTTGTTTGTTTGTTTTTGTTTTTTTTGGTGTGAGTACATATTCATTTATAAAGTGGATCATACAGTAATGCTGATTTATACCTGCATAAATGCCCTTTTTGAAAGTAAAATGGAACAATTTGAGCCTCCAGATAATGACAGTAGTGGATTATAACACGTGGAATAATGTAGGAGTCCACAAGACCGTGCTGTTACAAATCAGAAGGGAATGTTTCCTTAAAGTAGAATGCAAAGTAATGTAGAAGGATTGGTAGAAATAGAAGTATCACCATCTAGCAACCCCTGTAGCAACACAAGACAAGAATCATGAATGGCTGCTAAAACTAGGAGGCAAAAGTTTGATGAGAAACAGAATATTTTCGTGGTCTCAACGTATCTTCTCACGGGTTACTTTTTAATTACAAAGAGAAAAATAATAACCTGGCAGACACCACCTCCTCCAAGGGATGATAGTTAACATCACCAGTAATGGGACAAATTGACATCATCTCCCTTCTGCTGTGATGCACTGTGAAGGATACAGTATCATTTCTGGGGCAGTCCTGCCCAAAATGCAAAATCTGAAATTAATCATGAGATAACATTATAGAAACCCAATTGAGAGCTATTCTACAAATTAAATGGTTTGGGTTTTTCAAAAATGTCTAGATCATGAAAGATACTCTTCGAAGCTAGAGACTAAAGACACATGACAACCAAATGTTGCATTTGATCCTGGGGGTAGAAAAAGATTTTTCTTTTTTGTAAAAGATGGTAATGGAACAAATGGTGAGATGTGAATGAGGTCAACAGACTAGACAACAGCATTGTATTAGTATTAAATTAATTTCCTGATCTTGACAGTACACTGTGGTTATGATGAATCAGACAATGCACTTGTATTTAGGAAATACATCCTAAGGTGCTTACGGGTAAAGAGACATCATCACAACCTACTCTTAAATGGTTTAAAAAACATAGAGAGTTGGGGGTGGGAGAGGGAGGAAACGATAATGCAAATGTGGTAAAATGTTAACATTTGGGGATTTGGGTTACAGAATAGACGTGACTCCTTTGTACTATTTTTGCAATTTTTCTGTAAGAGATACTTTCTCAAAATAAATTACAAAAAAAAAAAAAAAAAAAAAAAAAAAAAAAAAAAAAGGAACCAGAGCTGTTGGATTAGTCACCAGTGAATCAGTGGATATTTTAATTAATTTACATAGTATTTGTATATGTAGTGCTTGCTGACTTTAGAGGCCATTATTCCTTATCTGTATTATGTGTTAACAATATTTTTTTTTAATTTTTTTTTTTCAACGTTTATTTATTTTTGGGACAGAGAGAGACAGAGCATGAACGGGGGAGGGGCAGAGAGAGAGGGAGACACAGAATCGGAAACAGGCTCCAGGCTCCGAGCCATCAGCCCAGAGCCTGATGCGGGGCTCGAACTCACGGACCGCGAGATCGTGACCTGGCTGAAGTTGGACGCTTAACCGACTGCGCCACCCAGGCGCCCCTGTGTTAACAATATTTTTTAAAACTATGTCATAATAAAGAGAAAGAACACTGGCTTAGTCATCAGAGGATGGGCTATTCTCTTAAGTCTGCAACTAATTGTTTAGTGAGACCTTGAGAAAATCACTGTTTCTGGGTCCCGGGTTCTGCACCTGCAAATGTTTGCAGGGAGCTGGATGAACTCACATGGATAACTGGATTCTAGCAGTTGTGTGATGATGGGTTCTGGACTCACTACCATGGTCGGAACTCAGGGAAATGTTGTCTCACGGTTAGCCACTTGAAAAAGGCCCAAGCCTTCTCACACAAGTAAACTGAAAAGATCCTCGGACCCTCCACTCTGGCCCTCCACTAGCGCACGCAACTTGTTAGCGGCACATCCTCTGAGTTGTATGACCAGTACTCTTTTTTCCAGCCGTTCATCATTTTCCAAAGACTTGCCTTGTGTTGTTAGTCACCCTTTCTTTTAGTCATTTAAAAAAGGAATGTGACTTTTCTTCGCTTTAAAATTTTCCAGTTCTTTCATATCTAGACTTTACCTTTGGAAAGTAATTTGCCATTATGGCAGAGATGAATAGGTAGGTGGACTGTTTTCCTCTAGGATCACGAAAGAGTTCAGTTGATAAGCAGTTGAATGTAGATGATCAGAAAGTGATGGGAATGGAAGTAAAATTTCAGAATGAAAATTAAGATTTTTAAGTTTGTGCGGTTAGTAATGTATCTTGTGAGGTTAGTAATGTAACCAGGAAGTTACTCTTGCTCTTCTAAGCCTTTCAATATGATTCCCCAAGAAAGACAAAAATGTAAGGATACCCAAAGCAGACACTCTGGTCTTCTACTGGTGAGGATGTAAATTAGTTTTGGGTTTTTTTTTTAGAGGTAATTTAACAATATTTATTAAAAATAAAAGAGATTATGCATGCTAACTTGAGTTCCACTTCTAGGAATTTATCCTGTAGAAATGTTCATTGCAGCATTGTTTATAAAGGTGAAAACTTGAACAGTGTTCATTGTTAGGACACTGCATTAATAAATTATGACATATCTTACAATAGATTCTTATACAGCTGTCAAGAAATAATATAAGATTTTTTATGTTAATATAAAATGGATTTCCTGTTGCTGTTTTTAAAAATTGTGACAAAATATATAAGATGTATTATTTGACATTTTAACCATTTTTGAGAGTACACTTAAGGGGCATTAAATACATTCAGTGTTGTATAACCATCAGCACTTTCTACATCTAAAATTTTTTCATCATCCGCAGCAAAACCTCTGTATCCATTAAATAACTTTACCTTGGGGCACCTGGGTGGCTTGGTCGGTTGAGCGTCTGACTTCGGCTCAGGTCATGATCTCATGGTCCGTGAGTTTGAGCTGCCCTTCGGGAGCTCCCGTGCTGACGCTCGGCCTGGGACACAATTTCAGGTATTGTCTCCTCTCTCCTCTGCCCCACTGTTCGTATATTCTCTCTCTCTGTAAAAACTTAATAGCGTTAAAAAAAAAAAAAAAAATTAAAGCCTGGGGTGAAACAGTGGGATTAGCGTCGACTTCAGCCGGAATCGCGATCTGCATGGTCGTGAGAGTTCCCGAGCCCGGCGTCGACTCCTGGGCTGATAGCTCAGAGCCTAGAGCCTGTTCGATTATTCATGTGTCTCCCTCTCTCTCTGCCCCTCCCCTGTTCATGCTCTGTCTCTCTCTGTCAAAAATAAATAAACGTTAAAAAAAAATTAAAAAAAAAAAAAAAAATTAAAGTAAACAAAAGATTTTGGCTCTAAAATTCAGTTAAATCCGACCTCAGGTCTTTCAGATCCTGCATGGTCCGGTTGAACCCTCGCGTCCCAAGACTCCTAGGCTGATAAGCAGACACCGGGCCTGTTCTGTTCTGTATGTCTCCCTCTCTCTCTGCACACCTCCCTGTTTCACACTGTCTCTCTCTGTCCCAAAAAATAAATAAACGTTGAAAAAAAAAAAAAACTTTACCTTCACCTTTCCCCCCACCCCCAGGAGATTTTACATATTGACATGGAATATGGCCCAAGTGCATAATTAAATGATAAGGGAAGACTGTAAAATAGAATAAATACTATGATTCTACTAGTAAATTGTGTAGGGAATTATAGTATGTTACTGTAAGTGTGGAAAAAATCTGGGACTCTACATGTATTAAACTGGTAAAGGGGGATATTTGGGGAGATTTTAACTTTTCTGTTGTATTTTGGTAATTTTTTTGTTTTAAAGGGATGTGTAACTTTTCTAAGCAAAAAACAAGAGCTGTACTTTAAGTATTGTAAAACTTGGTGATTTGGATAACTCTGATTTTGTCTAATGAATAACAGACTTTGCTGTGTGGTTGCTGAATTTGAGTTTATATAGAACCTAAACACTTTATTAAAATAATGATGTTTGTTTTCACAGCTAGAGTTGGGAAGACATCACTGATTATGTCCCTGGTCAGTGAAGAATTCCCAGAAGAGGTAAACATTTTTATCTTTTCTATATTTAAAATCTTTTAAATTTATCAAAATTGAGTTAAAATGAAATAAATTCTGCTCTTTTTTTGGATGTGTTTCCTTTCTGACAGTTATGACTTTAAAAAGGCTCATATTAGTTATACAAGACATCCCTGAAATATAGTGCAGGAGAAAGAATCAAACTAGATCTGAGCCCACCTAAGTCCTTTGTTCTTCCTATGTTTTCTATTTCTTTTTTTTTTTTATTTTTATTTTTGAAGTTTATTCATTTTTGAGACAGAGTGCGAGCAGGGGAGGGGCAGAGAGAGAGGGAGACACAGACTCTGAAGCAGGCCCCAGGCTCTGAGCTGTCAGCACAGAGCCCGACACGAGGCTCAAACTCACAAACTGTGAGATAAAGACCTGAGCCCAAGTCGGATGCTTAATTGACTGAGCCACCCATGCGCCCCATTTCTTTTTCCCTCCCTCCCTCCCTTCCTTCCTTCCTTCCTTCCTTCCTTCCTTCCTTCCTTCCTTCCTTCCTTCCTTCCTTTAGTTTATTTTGAGAGAGAGAGGGACAGAGAGAGAGTAAGCATGTTCGTGCACACACAAACAGGGGAGGGGCAGAAAGAGAGGGAGAGAGAATCCCAAACAGGCTCTGTACCATCAGCACAGAGCCCAGCATGGGGCTTGAACTCACGAATCGTGAGATCATGACCTGAGCCAAAAATCAAGAGTTGGATGCTTAACGGACTGAGCCATCAGGTGCTCCTGTTTTCCTACTCTGATCTTGGCTAGACGTTTCTCATCTCTGTGCCTTAGTTGTCTCATCTGTAAAATGGGAGCTGGAAGGGATTATTAGAGATCATCTGAGCTGTTAATCCTTTCTTAAATATAAAACAGGTGAGTATTCCTTTAGTTTGAAGTAAGGGTAAAAGGTCTGCTGGTTTCCTGCCTGCCTTCCATCTGACACTCTCCAGTCTTTGAGGCATTAGAACCACTAGGATTCTGACACATGTATTTGAGAATCTTTAATATTATCCATTGCATCATTTTTACAGGTGAAGAAACTAATTCATTCCACCTTTACCTAAACTCAAAGGATTGTTGTGTCTCAAATGAGAATTGCTTAATAATCGTAGAGTGCCACCAAAAGTAAGGTGGTTTTATTATTACTTGCAATATATTTATTTATATTCTGGAAGTTCCAGGATAAGGGACTGCTGGCTAAGGCCTTATGTAAAGTTAGAATTTTGTTTTGGGAAATGCTATTGATGCAAATGGGGTGAACATTATTTCTCCTTTATTCTGTGTCTTCACATAGTACTATTAGCTCCACAATTTGCATTTTTCCCTTTTTTTTTTTTTACTCTTGTTTAGTTAGAAATGCATAAATTCACTGTTCAGACAGGAGTTTGATACATTATGTGGTAGTGTTCTCAGCAGCTACAAATACCACATGACCATTCATTGTTTCTTTTGCTTTTTTCTGTTCTTAAGTAAGATAGCTAAATAAGTAAGTAGTTAATTTGTGAAATGAAACATATTGTCATATGATTACTCAGAGTATAATACCTAAATGTTTTCTCTGATTGTTTAACTTAATTTAGACTTGTCATTTTAGCACTGTCCTCTTGGGTGTGGATAAAGCATTTTTAATGTATTAAAAAATCATAGTCTTTCTAAAAAATGGATTCATTAAGCAAGGCCTGTGTAGCCAGTTATCTTCTAGAAGAAATGAATTTTGATCATTATTTTATTTGAGAATTGCTTTGGATTAACATAGTTCCTCATTTGTATAGCATCTTAAACTTTCAACAAAATAGAATGAAAACAGCATTTTAAAAATCAAATGTTTGAAACACTAAATTAATTTAAGTATTGTTTTAGGCTGCATCAGATCTGAAGTATCCTTAATATGCATTATGCCCACACAGGTAGCATGTACATGCTTTTTTTTTTTTTTTTTAATTTTTTTTTTTTTAACGTTTATTTATTTTTGACAGAGAGAGAGAGCATGAACAGGGGAGGGTCAGAGAGAGAGGGAGACACAGAATCTGAAACAGGCTCCAGGCTCTGAGCTGTCAGCACAGAGCCTGACGCGGGGCTCGAACTCACGGACCGCGAGATCATGACCTGAGCCGAAGTCGGACGCTGAACCGACTGAGCCACCCAGGCGCCCCTGTACATGCTTTTTTAAAAGAAATATTTTATCACGTAGCTTTTAATATATACTTGAATCCCGGGGCATATGGGTGGCTCAGTTGGTTAAGCATCCAACTTCTGCTCAGGTCATGATCTCATGGCTCGTAAGTTCAAGTCCCGCATTGGGTTTGTGCTGACAGCTTGGAGCCTGGAGCCTACTTCTGATTCTGTGTCTCCAGTCTTTCTCTCTGCCCCTCCCCTACTTGAACTCTGTGTGTGTGTGTCTGTCTCTCAAAAGAATTAAAAAAAAAAAAAATACGTGTATATACTTGACTCTGGTAAAGCACAAAAAATAAGCATTTAAAAGTGTAATAAATCTTGAAAGGGCAGGTATGGGTGAAAGGGGCTAATACAGATGAATTTACATGCTCTGTTAACAAGTTTGGTTGATAATATCCAAAGGGTTTTTTCCTTTATTTGTTTGCTAATGAAGGTTCCTCCACGGGCAGAAGAAATTACCATTCCAGCTGATGTTACCCCTGAGAGAGTTCCAACACACATCGTAGATTACTCAGGTAATGAATATCCTCTTGTGGCTGGCGCTGTAGGGTTAGTTTAATAGTCCTCCAAAAAAGTGTTCAAAGATAGGTGTTCCTTTTTCTCTAGCAGCAAATAATCATTTATGACTCTTGTCTCATTTTTATCTCCCCCCACCTCACACTCCACATAAAGCCTCCATCTTGCAGTTGTCTGTCCCAAATTTACTAAGTTGGGTTCCATAATAATGAAAAGGAAGGAGAGAGATGGCAAATGACAAGTAGTAGTTAAATCATTACCCTCCTTGAATTGGCCTGTTTGCAGAGGTAAGTTCTAGATTAGTTTTGTTATCAGGCATGTAGAAAGAGTTGTGCATTTGAGAATTTGTTGAGTTCTAAATTCGTTCTTTAACTTATCAGCCTTTATTCCCTTCCCCAAATAATAGATAAAACAGTTGTCAGCTTGTTTACATTATATGATAATAGAAGCACATTTGTATCACTTAATAATTTAAAAATTTTCTACCCACTGGTACTTACTTTTTTTTTTTTT